CAGCGCACTTAACACCATGGGCAATCGGGCCCTTAGTGCCACAGAACCCGCAGCCACCTGTTGCGTCTGCACTGCCCACTGAGCCGGAGCCCGCGCCCTTGGCCCAAGATCCCTCTTCGTTGGCTATACAAGCACCTACTACCACGACAACTACACGCTCCACTTGAGCTCCAACACAGGATCGTGGGTATATTATGCGACTATGGCACATGACACGGGATACAAATGAGCAATTCCATGCTCTAAATACCACTGCTGATCCAACTTGCTACTCACAGGCTGTAGGTCATCCTCATTGGCGTGACGCCATGGACCCGGAGTTTAATGCCCTTCTACACAATAGCACTTGGCGGCTAGTACCGGCAGAACCACACATGAATATCATCGGGTGCAAATGGGTTTTTAGAACCAAGCGCACCACGGATGGCTCGGTAAAGCACTATAAGGCGCCCCTTGTCGCCAAAGGGTTCAATCAGGTAGCGGGTGAAGACTTCTTTGACACGTTCAGTCCTATGGTCAAACCGACCACGGTCCGGCTACTGTTTGCTCTAGCCGTGTCGAACAACTGGATCTTACGCCAACTTGACGTACACAATGCTTTTCTAAATGGCCACCTGGCAGAAACAGTATACATGAAACAACCTCCAGGGTACGAAGATCCGTTGCACCCTAATTATGTCTGCCACCTTCAGCGGTTCCTTTACAGTATGAAGCAAGCTCCTCGAGCTTGGTTCAAACGGCTCCATGATTTTCTAATCTCTACAGGTTTTTCCTCTTCGAAGACAGATGTGTCACTTTTTTACTACACTGCAGGTGAAACCCGGGTTTTCCTGCTCGTTTATGTCGATGACATAATCATGATGGGTAATGACACTGCTCTTCTATACACTCTCCTCAATCAGTTATCCATGACATTCAAGATTCGAGACCTTGGGACTCCAAGTTTTTTTTTTCTGGGCATTGAAACACTGAAGGTGGACGGTGGACTGCTCCTTTCTCAGCGTCGCTATATGGGGGATATTCTTACTCACGCCGGTATGATGGACTGTAAGGCTTTAGCTACCCCAACTGCTGTCTCTCAAGCAATTTCACCGACCACGCAACTGTTTGAAAACCCGACTCAGTATCGCCGAATCGTGGGGGCTCTGCAGTACCTGACTATCACTCGCCCAGATCTGTCATATGCGCGGTCAATCGACTTTGTCAGTTCATGCATTCACATACCGAGGAGCATTGGGGCCTACTAAAACGTGTTCTTCGGTATATCAAAGGCACCCTCGACTATGGTTTGCGTCTATCACCATCTTCATCCTCGGCGTTACATGCCTTTTCAGATTCAGACTGGGCTGGGTGTCCGATTGACAGGAAAAGTACAAGTGGATATGTTGTGTTTTTGGGCTGTAATCTCATCTCCTGGCTCTCTCGAAAACAACGCACAGTTGCTCGCTCCTCCACCGAAGTCGAGTACAAAGCTCTTGCTGATGTTTCAGCGGAGGTCACTTGGGTTGTTTCGCTCCTCTGGGAACTTGGGTTACACTCTGGCCAGCCATCTACTCTATGGTGTGACAACTTGGGAGCCACCTATCTCTGCGCCAATCCAGTCTTTCATGCCCAGACGAAACATGTTGAGATTGACTACCACTTCGTTCGGGACAAGGTGGCCTCCGGTGACTTCATTGTTAGTTTTGTGTCCACTAAAGATCAGCTTGTGGATATCTTTACTAAACCGCTCCCCGGTCCGCACTTTCAGACTCTACGTGACAAGCTCAATGTCGTCTCGCACCCACCTTGAGCTTGAGGGGGTGTGTTAAGTATGTAATTATTATGTTATTATTTCCTATTGTAATTAAGTAATAAATGTGTGGTGCTAGAATAGTCAGCTAGGGAGAGTCTATTAGTTAGGAGAGTTTCACGTGTAACAACTCTCCTTTAGTATTCTATCTCTATCTCTGTAACCGAATTATTGAATCAATCTTTCTCATCATCATCAATCTTTGTATATTCACTAACTATTCGTAAATTAATTGACCCGTTATAAAGTAATCAGATAAAGAAAATATTATACTTTTGGTTTATGAGTTATAGACTTTGTAATATATATAGTGAATTTAGTCTCTGTATTATGACTTATATGAGTGTCACCACTTTTATAAGTTTTTAAATTATCAAGGAAGTGATGTTTTTTGTCCTCCCAAGATAATTTTTGATATGTTTTTGAAATATAACATGGATATTCCAACATAGTCAATAGTAGAACTAAAAACGCCACATTAAGACTCTGTTTGGAAGGGTTTATTTAGGAGCTTATAGCTCATTTTAAACTACTAATAAGTTATAAATAACTCAAAAACAAGAAGTACGTAGTGAGACATATAATAAAGCAACTGGATTCACTTATCATAACGGACCAAAAGTGCAATTATTCCTAGGATAAAATTACATTAAATAACGCAATATTTATTGCAAACGATTCTATATATACCAGCACTCCAGCAGTATGACTCCAAAACGTATAGCTGCAATCTTGCAAGCTATAAAAATATATATTGCATTATTCTTAGCTTATTGCGTCCATTAATAATTCTTTGTTTTTTTTTTTTTTTTAAATTTTAAGTTAGAGGTGTCTAAAACAACGTAACTTCAAATTAAAATGCTTGTGTTGTTTAAGATGATGATGATGATCTATAAAAAGGCATGTGAGACCTAGGAATGAAGTTGATCGCTTTCGCCGTTCACACACATTATTTTAGTGTTCGTTGAAAAATTGAGAATTTAGACCATATATAAACATATTGAGGGTGTTTGGTAAATAGCAGTTTCAATTGAGTAAATAGATTTGACTAGTTGATAACATTAGTTGATTGCAGAAAAATATTTAATAAATTAGTTGTTAGTTGATAGTTGATTACATGTAAAATAATTTTTTCAAAAAGTTGATTGAGTTTTTTAAAGTTTTGAACAATAAACTGTTACAAAAAACTAATTAATCGAATCAAACATTTATATTGCCTATTTAACTAAGTCAAACAGTTAGTAGTAGTCAAATAAATCAAAATTGACCAATAATGGAAGATGAGATCCCTAGAATGGACCATGCATATATGCATGCTTTAATGCACCAAGGAGAATCTAATGAAAGACTATGACGGCTGTCCTGTATTTTAGTTTGCATCAAACCAGCTGCTACCTATAATGAGATGCATGGAACATTTATGCCTCCTCAATTATAAATGGTGGGCGTAATTTCTATTAAAAAGTTTTAAATTTTTTTTTTTTCCCATAAATTGATATTTTAAGTGATCATTATGAGCGTTTTCAAAAAAAAAAAAAAGAAGTGATCATTATGAGCTATAATTTTGAGTAAGGTTCATTTTTGTGAATAATAAATTTATTCTCAAAGTGTATCCATTGAATTGGGAAAAAATAAAGTTTAGGAAGCTTTTAAGTAGTTTTTATCTTGTATTTTCTTTTTACCACGAGGTGATCCGGATATTTCTCTGTCCATTGTTTTTATCCTGCATTATTAGAAAAGGATGGGTGCAACTTTCAAGTATGTTTCATTTTCGTCCGTATAGTATAAAATATTCGTATTCTTGTCAATGCGGCTGCAACCTTCATGCATGTAGAAATATAGGACAGAACAGACTAATAAAGGTTGCAGGTTGGTAATATAGAATATTGTTTGTGCATAGGAGATGGGAAAGTAACACGCGTAGATCGAGCATGATAATGAGGCTTTCTTTCTTTTTTTTTTTTTTTTTCAACGAGAAAGTTCGAAGTCACTATTTGATGGTGCACTCTAAATGAAAATCGCCTTGAAATTCTAGTTAATAAAAAACTATAAAGAAATAAATCAGTTTAAATTGTTTATTGTTGGCCAGCTCAAATCAAGAAATTAAAGTTACTCCCTAATTAATAAAACTTTCACGTATAAGGAATCGAATTTAAAATCTTATTATCAAACTAACTTAGTTGGCGTCGAGGCATATACGAATATATAGAGGTGGGAAGCTAAGGGTCAAGGGACAGTGGCATCTAGCAAATTGATGGGGCAACATATATGTGAATAAATTAAACTAAGGATTCCGCTGAAAATTTATGACAACAAAAGAGTGCGGCTTTAATTATTTCCCACTTTGAAGCACAGTATCACTTTAGCTTTTCACATTATTATTATTATTTGGTTATTCCATCCAGGGGGCTAACATCTGTGCGGCCATTTTTATTTTCATCAATACACCCTTCATTCACATACCAAATAATGTGTGCCACCAAAAAATATATATCACAATTATATTAGTAATATACCAAATTAAATGATGATATATATAATTGCGATATATAATTGGCATGTAGTGACTTCTCCTATGTGGGAGGTCATGAGATCGAACCTCAGTGGAGGTGTTTGATTCTTTGTGTTTCATTAGGTTGAGAAAGTATGTTTGAACAGATCTACAATGTAGTAAAGTCAATAGCATTCAAAAAAAAAAAATGACGAGCTGAGTAATTTGAATGGAAAATGTTTGATAAGTTGCAATTCAATATGACTAGACATACATGTGCAACACATTACATGCATGGTGTTGAGCATAATGTAAAGTTTTATTAGATGATAATAGTTAATAAATATGTAGTGTTACCTATCAGTATCTTTTAATTTAACATAAGAACATACAAAACGTCTTAAGTTCAAACCATAAAATTTAATACCTGAATTGTCTGTTAAGTGTTGAGTGATAATGCAACGATAAACATGTTACACGATCCCACTGGGTAGGCTTAACTTAGGAACCATCTAGGTTACTGGATTTGGGCTCTGCAAATGGTAATTTGGGCCAAGCATCTGTTTATTGGACTAAACCAAAAAATTCTGTGGCCTAATTGAACAAAGTGGGCTGAACCCATTTATTCCTCACCTCTTCTGCTATATACAGGGAAAAGGACAAATTGAAGAAGCACAAAATAAATATAAAACAAATATTGTAATTAGAACATAGGAGTGGCAACCAGAGGAATCTTTTCATTCATTTCTTATTTGGCTTACAATGAACCAACCAAGAAATAAGAGCTGACCAAAAAGTTATTTTTTGCTCTTTGTTATATTACTCAAGTCTCATTTCCCTACAATGGTGAAGCTTAACTACTCCAAAAGTTCATACTACATGCTCTGAATCTATTGATCACACGGTAAGACCTTGAGGAGCAGCAGGGGCAGGTGTCTTAGGCTTTGGTTTCTCGACGACAATGGCTTGTGTGGTGAGGACCATTCCTGCAACTGAAGCAGAATTCTGCAGAGCACATCTTGTCACCTTGGCTGGATCGATGACTCCAGCTTCCACGAGGTTCTCATAGCTATCGGTCATTGCATTGTATCCGACCTCCCAATCACGGTCTCTCACCTTTTCAACAACAACCTCCCCTTCAACCCCAGCATTTTGGGCTATCAGGGATGCTGGTGCAACTAATGCCTGTAAGCACAAGACAGCACACAGAAAAAAAATCGTTAGGAAAGTTGTTCACTTTCTCTATACACTTCCAAGAATTGGCTATTAAAAGCAAAGAAAATAGAAGTCTGGCATTCTTTACCTTTTGCACGATATCAGCTCCTAATTTCTCATCTGCGTCTTCAAGTGTGTCCTTGATTGCAGGAACATAAGTCGACAGATGAACGAATGCAGCCCCACCACCAGGTACAATTCCCTCCTCAATGGCAGCAAAAGTTGCATTCTTTGCATCCTCGATGCGCAGTTTGCGGTCCTCAAGTTCAGCCTCTGTTGCAGCTCCAACCTTAATCACAGCAACACCACCTGACAATTTGGCAATTCTCTCGGCAAGTTTCTCAGAATCATAGATTGAATCAGTTTCAAATAACTCCTTTTTAAGCTGAGCAATCCTTGACTGTATCTCATCCTTCGATGCAGCATCAGCAATAATGGTTGTTGAGTCCTTGGTAATTGTCACCTTTCTGGCAATACCTAGTGCTTCAACTTGGGTATTCTCAACAAGAAGTCCCAAATCACTAGCCTGGTACTCAGCTCCTGAAATAAACAAACAGAATGAACTTGACAAAGTCAACAAAGAGAACTTCCACAATCAAGTATATAAGAGGAATGGTCAATGAATAATTTGTTTATACAACTTGTATCCGAAAGGAAACCAGATTAATTCACTCCTCTTCATTGCGGCACCCCAAGCAGTTGATTGTGGCATAGTCCTTTCAAAGCCTTATGAGCTATGATGCTAGGGACAGCTATTCAACAAGTGCCAGGAACATGATTAAAGGGGACATGTTTTATACTCCCCAACCCTCACATAGTTTCGAACCATTTTCTTTTAAGGTTTTTCTTAATTCCCAATTTATCTTGATTCTTAGAATGTATGGCAAAAGTAGTGGAAAGCCTTGTATCTATATTGGAGAAGCAAAAAAGAGCTATGAATCCAAATGCCAAGTCCACTATATAGTCATGGCAATAGGTATACTGCATTCCAATACTCCCCAGCACAATTGGATAGTAATAGAGGGCTAAATAAATAGCATAGTTCCACCAGTAAAGTCAAGTACCTGTTACAATGGCAATATCTTGAAGAAGTGCCTTTCTCCTTTCACCAAAACCAGGTGCTTTGATGGCAGCAACATTCAGAATACCTCTCAATTTGTTGACAACAAGAGTAGCCAAAGCTTCTCCGGTAACATCTTCAGCAATAATGAGCAAAGGAGCTCGTAGCTGTGTAGTTTTCTCCAACAAGGGGATAATGTCCTTGATTGCTGAAATCTTCTGATCTGTAACTAAAACTCTAGCATTTTCAAATTCAACAATCAATTTCTCGGGATTGGTGACAAATTGAGGGGATATATATCCTCTGTCAATCTGCAAGCAATAAGTAAAAATAAATGGTTATGACCATTTATAGGAGAAAAGCAAGAGAACACCATGTAAAAGAAATTGATGTCACAAATTAGATACCTCCATTCCCTCTTCTACATGAACTGTTGTTTCAAAGGAGGAAGATGATTCAATGGATAGCACACCATCAGGACCAACTTTGTCAATTGCATCAGCAATCATGGTGCCAATGGTTTCATCATTTCCAGCAGAGATTGAAGCAATTGCTGGTGGGAGAAGAGCATAAATAACATTGCCAAAGTGGTAAACCGTGTAGGTCAATAGAAAGCTAGTCTTCATTATGAACTAAAACATAATAATTCTATTATTCCGTACCTTTAATATCATCACGACCTTTAACAGGCCTAGCTTTCTTTTCAAGCTCTTCCACCAAAGCATGTACAGTCTTGTCAATACCCTTCTTTATGGACACTGGATTCGCACCAGATGTAACACTCAACAAACCTAGTTTAATTATTTCACGAGCAAGAACTGATGCAGTTGTCGTCCCATCACCAGCAGAATCATTGGTTTTGCTTGCAACCTTCATCAAAATCTCCATATATCAGACATTATAGAAAATAAAATAAAACACAAATGGCAAGCTGTTCTAATTACACATTTGATGAATGATCTAAAGAGAAAGTAGGATAGCAAAAGAATCAACCTCCCTAATGAGGGCAGCACCAGCATTTTCCATAGCATCAGCAAGTTCAATAGCACGAGCAATTGTTACTCCATCATTAACCACTTTTGGGGTTCCATATTCATCCAACACAACATTCCTCCCTATAGAAGAATTATATAAAGTCTTACAAGTTTGAATCATTTTGATACATTTATAGTTATCAAAACTCATAGGACAAATTATGCCATGCTGGTTTAAGGAAACAAAATATTCAAATTCAAATGAATGATGCTCAACTTAACTACGACACAATACTGACACCACTGAGCTTAACAGTTCAGGATGTTATAGCAGAGCTGCTGCGTATTTCCACATCTTGAGCTTTTGGAGTTTCAAGCTTCTACTAGCTTTGCATAGAATCAGTGGCAAAATTACCATGAATTGATGCAAGTAGCTAGCACAGTCATCCTAAGATAACCCAAACATAAAACTAAACATACCTGCCCGCATGGGCAGCTTAGGAGTTGGTCAAAGGGGTGAAGTTTGAGAACAATGACCCGGGATTGAGTCTCACAACCTCTCAAAGTGAGGGGCTCCTTGTGCACAGTAAGCAAAACGTCTAGCCTCTGTGTTCAGCTAGCAGAGTTACCATGATTTAAATCCTCTCATATGCTCTGTTTGGCCGGGGTTAGGGATTCAACCTTTTGGGAACAATAAAACTAAACATACGTAAAACTCAAAAATCTATTTCTTAGTATCACCAGTTCTACACAATAAACACTGACAGATATGCAAGGTCCGAAGAAGAGCATTAAAGAGACAAATTAAAGCAATGTGCAATTACCCCTGGGGCCAAGCGTGAGGCCGACGGCATCGGCGAGCTTATCAATGCCGGCCTGAAGGGCAGTCCTGGATTTCTGATCAAATGCTATTTCCTTAGCATTCGCCTTCACCACAAACCGGCTCTTGGAGCTCGATGTCTTGCCGTTGTAATTCCTCCCGTTCAACTGGTAAGCCCTCCTATTCCTCAACCCGCCCTGCGTGCATCAACCAGCAAACATATACGCACAAAATATATGCAATTACTTTTGAAATGAAGAAGAACAGAATCAATAAAAGGGCAAAAATGAGCGAATACCTGTTTGGAAGAAGAAGAAGAAGAGAGGATTGAGGCAGTTGAGAAAGCATTTGCAGATGCCATTTCAAAGGAGAATGCTGTTGTGGATAACAGAAATAGTGAGGGGTTTTGCAGAGTGTTATCTAGGGTATGCTGTTCTTATATGTAGTGATAATTTCGAGAAGGTTCTTCTCTGCTCTGAGGGGCTATTTCGGCTCATCTACTCATCTACTACTACATTTATATACACTACTCTTGCCTTCTTTTGGTTGTTGGAGTAAATTTGGAATTGGTACTAAAAAACATTAGTTTTATTTGGAGTCCTATAAATAATTTAATATAGATCATATGTGGGTTACTCTCTCGTGCGGTCATGCGGATATAATAGCGAGACAATTTTATAATTTCATCGACAATATATATTTGAGTAGTGCACTAAGTGTTGGTGAACGGTGCACCTATGAGTACTTTGTGGTGCGTTACTTGATGCTTTGTGGTGCACTATCAAGTGGCTGAAAATCAATCAAAAGAGAAAAAACGTGGTGGCATTTTTATAATTTTGTGCACCATGTATATTTTGGTGGTGCACTAAGTGCTAGTGTGTGGTGCCTTTGTAAGTGCTCTATGGTGCAGTTATTGGTGAACTGTGGTGCACCACCAAAAAGGAAAAAAGAAAACGCGGTGGGTTTAATAGACCCATTGAGTAGTGCAATACTAAGTGTACCACAGATCATTTATAAAAGCGCACCACATACTAGCACTTGTTAGTGCATAATAAAATTATACTTGGTATATTTCAGTGGTGTACTAAGGGGATGTTTGGTTCATGGAAAATGTTGTTTTCTAGTGTTTGGTTCATGAAATTCATTTTCCATTTGAGGAAAAAAAAAATTCTTGGTTGGACCAAGGATTTTGTTTTCCATGGAAGATGGGAAGAAAAAGTGAATAGATTGCCTATTTTACCCTTACTTTCTTTTTAAATTATATTACTTTTATTAATTTGTAGGGGCATATAGGTCTTTATACTCATTATTCCTTACAATTCCAAATCTAACCAAACAATCGAATTAGTACTCCCAGTAATTCTTTTTCCACCAACCAAACAATGAAATCCATCTTCCTAGTAATTGTTTTTCCATGAAATTCCAATTTCACTTCCCTTAAAATATTTTCCGCGAACCAAACGAGCCCTAAGTGATAGTGTGTAGTGCACTTATGGTTGTGTAGTACACTTATGAGTGATTTATAGTGCAACACCTAAAAGAAAAAAACACAAAGAGTTCAATAGACCTATTGAGTAATACAATACTAAGTACAACCTAGTATCACTCAAAAATACACCACACACTAACACGTAATGCATCGTCAAAATATACTTATTACAGAAAATTACGAAATTAACACCCCGGATATATATAATCAAAACCAAAATTAACGAAAAAGAATGGAAGTGACATTTTTGTACCAAACAAACAAACAAACAACAAAAATAAAAGGTTTATCACATCACATCAAAAGCCAAATTATTACTGAAAAATACAGCTCCGTTTTTTTTTTTTTTTTCAAAAAAAAAAAAACAAAAAACAAAAAACAAAAAACAAAAACAAAAACAAAAAAATACTCCGTAAATAAGAAGAGGGAGAAAATTTCCGGCTAAAGTAAGCTACTGATATAATTTTCCTTCTCCCGTTCTCTCGTATGGCTTAAAATTAGCTCGATATTGCATTTCCGGTGGTCAATCAACGTTGAACTCTGACTATACGGAGAATATTTTAGTTGTACTGAGTTAAGCTTCACTGTACGGTATGGTTTCTGTTTTTGCATAGAATTTTTCTACACCCCCCACACGTTTGATGAAATGCTTCTTATACTACACCCAGCAGAGTATATACTTGAAGTAAGCTGCATTGATGCATTGGTGGATCTTAATAATGATTTAGCTCCTTGTGAGATTAGTCTTGGCTGACTGCTTTTTAGCTCTTGCCTTGATCTACTTAGTGCATTTCTTTAATGAAGCCTGTGATTTTCGCTTTTCAATATCTTTCCATGGAATAGCTTATGTTGAAGCTGTTATCTTTGCAGGTGTGGAGATATTACTGTCATGGATGAGCTCGAGAAGCATAGTATCTTGATGGTGTCAGATTTTTTCTATCCCAATTTTGGTGGCGTTGAGAATCACATTTATTATCTATCTCAATGCTTGATGAAGCGGGGCCATAAGGTCAGATTTCATGTTATAATCTACACTGTCTAAATTGTCTAGTGTATATCTTCGTGTGATTTCATTTATGCACTGAGCCTATAGGATGAAAAGAAAGAAAATGAGAAGTTTCATGTTTTCCCCAATTCTTGGCTTGATTGTATTCTAGTAGAAATTCATGAATTTTACACAGTTGCATCAAAATTTAGGCAGACAAGGAAATCTGAATCACTGAATGTGATCTCCCTTATGTGTTTGGCTAGGGTGAATACAAGAGGGGAAGTGAAGAAGGAGCCCAATTGGACTGGTTTTGTTAGAAAGTCTGAAACCAACTTGTCCTAATGAAATTGGTCCTTCTTGGTTTTCCCTCCACAAAATGAACCATTAGGTGGAAAATATAAGTCAGTCTTTATCTGGACTAGTTTGGTTAGGTCCGTAGCCAACTAATCCTAACGAATCTTTCTGTTCTATAATCCAATCTGGCAATCTTATATGTATCTAAAAGATAAAGAACAAAGAATATCAAGAAAAATGTCATCTTTCAGCATTAGCTCAGAAGGAACAAATTGTTGAAACTTGAAAGTGTAGTTTTCATATAGAGGGTTCTTAAAACAAGGAAATTTATTATGCTCATTTGTATGAAGCTAGGTGGTTGTTATGACTCACGCTTATAAAAATCGCTCTGGAGTGAGATATATGACGGGTGGGTTGAAAGTTTACTATGTGCCATGGAAGCCTTTTCTTATGCAGAATACACTACCCACTTTTTATGGTACACTTCCTATCATAAGGACTATTCTAATTCGGGAAAAGATAACTTTGGTTCATGGACATCAAGCCTTCTCTACTCTATGCCATGAAGCTCTGATGCATGCACGTACAATGGGTTACAAAGTTGTATTCACTGATCATTCTCTTTATGGATTTGCTGATGTGGGAAGCATTCACATGAACAAGGTATTGCAATTTACTCTAGCTGATGTAACCCAGGCTATCTGTGTGTCTCACACAAGCAAAGAAAACACAGTCTTAAGATCAGGGCTGCCACCGGAAAAGGTTTATGTCATTCCAAATGCCGTGGACACTGCAATGTTCAAACCTGCTCCAGAAAAGCTTAGTCGGGAGGAAATTGTTATAGTTGTGATAAGTAGATTAGTTTACAGGAAAGGGGCAGATTTACTAGTTGAAGTTATCCCTGAAGTATGCCGCTTGTATCCCAATGTAAGTATTTCTGAAGTATGACGGCTTTTATATAACTTTGGGTAGGTAGATCTTGACTGTCTTTATGATAATTTTAGATATAAGCAATTCTCTTGGTGAAGATTAGGTTCGCTTCATTGTTGGAGGAGATGGACCTAAACGAGTGCGCCTGGAAGAGATGAGGGAAAAGCACTCTCTCCAAGATCGAGTTGAGATGTTGGGAGCAGTGCCACATGCCAAAGTGCAGTCAGTGTTAATAACTGGCCATATTTTCTTGAACAGGTATATCATGCTCCTTTTGTTGAGTGTGCTTAGTTGTGTCTTGAGAGTTGAGACTTGAGGTTACCAAATTATGTGGCATGAAACTTTTATGGGTATATCCTGGTTCATGATGCTGTAAATCTATTTAAGATAGCAAAAACAATCTGGCCCTTTTTCCAATAAGCAAGAAGAAATATAAAACAACTCAAAGCCTATGCACAGAGGCAAAAGTAATGCATGCCAAGTGTAAATTGTGGACTTATTGCCTTGTTTTACCTAGAGGCATTACCATTTCATATGCTTGAGGGTTTGCCAAAGCATGAAAATTTAATGATCATTTCAACCTAAAAGGCTAATCTAAGGTTTGACTACTGAGAATTCCCACAATAGCAATGTACACTGTCTTTATATACCACAATGAATCTGTGACCTAAAAAATAGCACACTGTCTATAAGGATAAGTTGCTTTCTTTCTCCCCTATCTTGTGCCCCCATTTCTCTTTCGCTGATTCTTGCACTTTCTGCACTAGTTCTTTAACAGAAGCATTTTGCATAGCTATATTAGAAGCAGCAAGTTGTGGGTTGCTGACAGTTAGCACACGTGTTGGAGGAGTTCCAGAGGTATGATCATGATATGATTTCTTGTATTTGTAGCTCTCTGTTTTTTTGTTATCAAGAGATCTGAATTTAGTTTTCATGTTTTCTTCTGTTGGTTAATGGTCCATCAGGTTCTTCCAGATGATATGGTTGTTCTTGCAGAGCCAGATCCTAGTGATATGGTACAAGCAGTCACAAAGGCAATACACATGCTTCCCCAGATTGATCCACTAGTCATGCACAACCGTGTATGTATGCTACAATACTAATTGTAATGCTTTCTTTGTTTTTATGCTTGGGCAGTTGGTGGCTGTGGGGATCTAATATAAGAATATGGTATTCTTCTTTTCTATCCAGATGAAGAAACTATATAGCTGGCATGATGTTGCTAAGAGGACAGAGATTGTGTATGATCGTGCTCAAAAACACTCAAATCCTCCACTATTGGAGCGATTATCTAGGTATGTAAAATGCATTTTTGAATTTTGTGTTTGCCCATCCGTAGAATTAGGAAGTTGGTGACAGTCCATTTCGATATTCTAGTAGTGTATATTGCACGATTTATAAAGAAACCTTCCAAGTAGAAAGATCTTTGTCTCATATCACCATGCTACTGCAGCCCAAAACTATCATTGTTCTTTGTTTTGACCATCTCCGATTTCTTAGTGTAGAAGTTTGCAGAATGTAGAAGAAATTCATGGAACTACTGAATAATAATGACTCGGCTTGTATATTAGTATTACATCTCAATTATCAATCCAGCATTGGTTATCTAACTAGAGAACACTTAGGGTATTTTTGGTTCATGTGTTTACACACTAGGAATGGGAATCAAAATCATAGTTAGGGTCCGTTTGGAAAGCAGGAAAATGACTTCTGGAAAATGTTTTCCAGAAAATGAGTCATTTTCCGGAAAACGTTTTCCTTTCTCGTGTTTGGCTGCACAATAGAAAACTGTCTTTGTCTGTTTGACTCATTTTCTAGAAAATGATGTAAAATTATATAATTAAACATTTTATATAATTAATTATTTTGTTTAAAATATATTAGATTTACAATAATATTATAAATAATAATAATAATATTAAATTTACAATAATAATAATAATAATAAATTCACAGTACTTGGGGGGGAATTCACAGTGTTAGTTGTTGCTGTAGACAGAGATGACAGTGATTGTTGTTGTAGACAGACGAAGGTGGTTGTTGTTGTAGGCCAAAGAAGTCTTCCGGAAAATGACTTCCCCCAAAAAAAAAGGGGAAGTCATTTTCCGGAAAATTGAGCTCATTTTCCATTGACCATGTCTCATTTTCCAGCCTAGCCAAACACCGAAAACCCGAAAAATGATTTCCAGAAATCATTTTCCGGGTTTCCAAACACACCCTTAGTGTTTTTGGTTGACAACTTTTTAAAACACAACTATGAGATTTGGTTACCCCTACAATTAAAAATCTCATTCCCTAATTAAAAGGGGGTATCATTCCATTTTATTGGTAATCTAATTTTTAAGTTTGGATTAGTAGTACTTTTAGATTTTTGTTTTGATTTTTTTATTCATATTGATGCTTTGGATGTCACTATATTAAGATCAATTGTTTTAATTTTTTTTTTTTTTGGTATTTTTAAAACCTTTATTTCCATTATAGGATCATACACAACCAAACATCAATATTGGTAATCATTCCAATTCCATCCTACTACCAAACATGCAAAATACTTTCACCAAAACCCATTACCATTACTAAGTATTTGATTTCCATTCTGATTCCAATTATCATGTGTGAACCAAACACACCCATAGATTAATAGATTATAAATTCGAAATCAACTCAGTGTAACGGTTTTGTGAGCACATTACATCAATATTGGAAGAAAAGCTGATGAACATTGATCTTGCTAGGTATCTTACTTGTGGAGCTTGGGCAGGCAAACTGTTTTGCATAGTTATGATAATTGACTTCTTGCTCTGGCGTCTCTTGCAACTATGGCAGGTAATCATCTCTCGTTCATGACTGGTTCATTCCTTTTCATCGTTCCCTATTATAATTTTTCTTTATGATTTTCATTAGCCTGACAACGAGATTGAGGTGGTGCCTGACATTTGTTTGATGAATTCTCAACATGACACCAACAAGGATGAAAGCAATACATGATTTTTCACTTCATAGGACATGTTTGTATTACATTCGACAAAATGATTAGCTGACCCTTTTACTTCTACTCTTCGAGAATGTAAATACAACTAGGTAAGCCACTTCTTTGTCTGACCGTATCGATTTTTTTTTTTGGTGCGCTAGAGGGACCAATAGGTCCCAAGGATTAGGAAATGCTTTTGCTAGCAATGCCTTTGGCGTCTCTATCCACAATGTCTCTTGCACCATCCGGAGGGTCCTCTAAGATTAAGGTCTCCTAGTCCCCACCTTGCCCCAAGTTGGCGAGGTAGTCGGCACACTGGTTACCTTCTCGAAAGATGTGTTGGATCACTTGGATGTCACCGTCCTGGATTTGTCTCATGATAGTCTTGTAGTCAATAATTAAGGTTTCAACCTCCGGTCTCGAATCGGCCTTTCCCTTCACCGCATGGACCATTGCTTTTGAATCTATCTCTACAATGATCTTGTTCATCCACCTGTCTTTGGCGAGGCTAAGACCTTCCCTCAGATCCAACAGCTCCGCAAAGAAGCTACTCGTGATCCCAATTTTGGTGGTGAACCCCACAATCCAAGCACCATTGTGATCTCGAATGGTTCCATCTGCACTAGCCATGCTTGAGTTGGCCTTCCTAGCACCATCAGTGTTGAGCTTGACAAAGCCATGTGCCAGCGGTGTTTAGTTAACTTAGATTTGTGTACTAGTCATAGGCAAATTATATCGTGCACCGCAGTGCATAATCGATTATGCACCACGCATCAAAATGACGTTGTTTTGTTAAATGAGAATAAACGGCATTCGTTTTTTGCCGTTCCGCACCCTTCCGCAAAAAGTAACTCTGTTATTCAGTTTCATTTCGTATACACTGTAGTTTCGGTTAAACACAATTACAGTTTCATTCGATATTTCTAGACTCAAATATGTGAAAATGTTATTTAATTTTATTTTATATACACTATATTTTCATTAAAACACAACTACATGATCATTTTGATATAATTACAGTTTCATTGTACAATATACACTCAAATATGTGAAATGTTATTCACTTTCATTTTATATACACTGCAGTTTCATTTCACTACAACTACAGTATCATTTTGATATAACTGCAGTGTCGGTTTAGATATACTGTAGTGTCAGTTGGTGTTTAATACACCAAACAAGCGGACTCCGTTAACGGTAACGGCGAGCCGTTTCTTTACTTAAAGAAACGGCACCGTTTTTTACCGTGGTGCATGTACACTGCGGTCTATGATATAACGACTACTAGTCATACCATCGTACCACTTAATGAGAAACTGTCAAGCCCTTTCCCCATGGACCTCCTAACCACCCCACTAGCTGGTACTTGAGTGTTGTTAAAGAGCCAGTTGTTCTAAGCCTTCTAGATATTCCAAAGTAAGCAATGAAGCATCCCATTCTATCTGCCATTCGACGTTCTATCATTTGTAACATTGTTGTTATCTTTGATCCAGTCCATTAAGGGCATGTGATTGTATATGCTAAAACCAACAGGCCCCGTGCACAGATTCCAATAGCTCATGGAGAACTCACAACGTCTGAAGAGATGATCAAGGGACTCCTTGTCGTCACCACACCAAGGGCAGCTACTGTCCTCCGTCAGGCTGCGCCTCCGCCTTTCACCATTGACTAGCAAACCATTCTTCATTATTTTTCAAAGGAAGAGCTTGTGTTGACTTGTCCAGGCTCGATTTGGATATTGGGCTAGTAATGGATTTTTATTTTTTATTTTTTTGAAGAAATTTGTTAATGATTATCATAGATGATTTTGGAAAAATGATAATCAGTGTCCAACTAGAACTACTTTAGGATGACACTTGGGGTATATTTAAAAGATGATATTTTATGGTATTGTGATTATGCCACATGCATGTTCTTCATTATTATTTCCAACCTAGTCCCCAGCACTGAAATAATTCCACGCCAAACCAATCAATCTGTCGGATTCAAAGTCTACAAAAAGTGAGTTAAAATTAGAGAAAAAGGGGCAAAAGAGCATGTAATTGTACAAGAGATGTCGACAAATAACAAAGCCAAGGCATTCAAACCAAGTCAAGTTGCTAAATAGATATTTTGAAATTTTGTGTGTGGAAAGAAAAATGAGTAACGTGGGGCTTGATACTAAAATTTTTTGTCTATGTACCTACAAATGTACAATTACATGTATGTGGTGTTCGAGTTGACTAAACCTTTCAAACATATACTATATTTTTTAAAAAATATCCTATCCATAAGATATATACAGTAGCATTTATGGGTTGTTGTCCTGTATCCCCAAGTCAAATAGGCATTTGGTGAATGGTCAATTGTCAGCGCGCACCCTTTAATCCTTTACGCATTTGGGTTTTGGGTTCCTACTTCGTACCTGCTCGGCTACAAATTTTAGAGGCCATGCCTCAAGTGGTATGAATTTCCTTGGTCAAATTTTGCACACAAAAGTAATAATGTTTTTAATTCCCATCCCAAGTGGACATAATGCATAACGTCCCAAGGTATTAATAATTCTGTAATAATAATAATATGGTAATAAAAAGGACAAGAAAATGGCACAACACTACACAACAAAGGTGAACGACAACGGAATTGTCAAAATTTTAGACCCAGGTCACAACTCCTGTCTTTCTCATAATCAACAATGACAGAACTCAATTAAAGAAAATGTTGATTATTTCCAGAATCCGGAATATATTATTATCATATATTTTTCATTGGTTGTGAGAGAAAAAAAAACAAAAAAAGACTGAATTTTTTTCAGTGACAAGGGAAATTCGTCCTTACTGAATGTGTATTGAATAATTTCATCAGGATCATAAGGTAAGTCAGTTTAAATTGTTGTTAAAAGTAAAACTTATAACTTTATGGTTACTTGATTAACAGTCTAACCAACTTGGTAAGAGTTGTTCCTAAATTTTGTGTGACTTGTTGGAATAACTCAATGAATAAAAAGAATTTTAATTTAAATTCAATAGCATTTTTGGGTACTTATTTATTCCGTTGTAACCAAAAAGAAAACGCGATATCATCCCGTTACCTTCAATAACATATTCACGTCTCCATGACTCAATCAATCTCATATTTTCAAGGTTCTCCACAATTTCTTCTTTATGTGTAGAACTAAAATGGCCGTCGACGCTTCATCGCCGGCACGCAGCCCAGCAAGGCTATCCTCTCGGACTTCTGCAGGTTTCTCCTCCGGGAATAGGAACGCGCATTCCAGATCATCAGATCAGCCAGCCAGCACTAGCACCTCCGCGCCGTATAATTCCAATTCCAGTTCTACCTTCTCTTCCGGCTTCCGAATTGATAGCTCTGTCGCTACCGCGTCCGTTTCCAGCTCCTTGTCTAGCCTCCGTCAATCGCTACCGGAAAATCCTCAGATTTATGATTTTTCTGAAATTCGAGCTGCTACGAACAATTTCCTCTCCAAGCGCTACTCCTCCACCTCCTCCTCGCAATCGTGGCGGTGCACGTTGTACGGCAAGGAAGTCATCATATTCCAGCGGATAATCCCGAGATCGATGGAGAAATCGGGACTGAGAGCCAACTTATCGGTTATTTGTAGGAGCCATAACCGGAGTATTATCAAACTCCTCGGCGCGTCGATCTCCGGCGATCAAATTTACCTAGTTTACGAATTTGTTCCTGGCTCAAACCTCTCTCTGTGTCTTCGAAACCCTAGAAACCCTAGCTACACGGTGCTCTCGACTTGGATGTCGAGAATGCAGATCGCTACCGATGTTGCTCAGGGTTTAGATTACATACACAATATGACGGGATTGGGGTTGAACTTGGTTCACAAGCACGTGAAGAGCAGCGGCATTGTCATCATAGAGCCGTCGCTCAACGCAAGGATTTGTCATTTCGGAGCGGCGGAGCTCTGCGGTGAGACAGAGATCTCACATATCGGCAGCGGTGAGATCACGGAGGAGCCGCCATCCCCGGGATTGAGGAGATCTAGGACACGGAACCAGCAGTTCGAAGGCGTGCACGGGTACATGTCTCCGGAATTTCAGCTCACTGGCCTTGCGACGCAGAAATCCGATGTATATGCATTCGGAGTTGTGCTTCTGGAACTTTTCTCCGGCGAGGAGCCGGTGAAGTACAAATTTGATAAATCGAGTGGAGAATACGTGCGAATTTCAGTTGTGGAGACAGCCAGAGATGCGATTGCTGGCGGCGGCGAAGCGGCGGAGAGGGGACTGAGACAGTGGGTGGACCGGAGGCTGAATGACTCGTTTCCGGTGAGTGTGGCTGAGAAGGTGATCCAACTAGCTTTAGATTGTGTCCACGTGGAGCCAGATAAGCGGCCCGATATGCGCCGCGTGTCCGGTAAAATATCGAAACTGTTTCTAGAGTCCGAAATGTGGTCAAAGCGGGTTAAAGTTCCTACCGAAATATCAGTATCATTAGCACCTCGTTGATGTGTATATACTGAAATTATATTTATATCCTTTTTTTTTTTTTTTTTTATTGCACACTTCCATTTTTTATTATACGTAGTATTATTTTAAATATAAATTGTTCTTTCTCCCACTTTTTTTTTTCCTTTGATAGTTTGGTGTTTTGAAATTAACATTTGAAAAATAAAAATCAAATTTAGGAACAATAGGAATACAACTAATAGAAATATTCAAATATAATGACTTACTAGTTACTACCAATAGTAATTACGGAGTATATCTTTCTACTAATAACTAGTAAATTTTATTGTTTTATGACTTATACATAATAAACTACTTACATTAAAACATAGAATAAAAGAAATATTCAAATACAATAACTAAATTGTTAAATGTTCAAATAAATTCATTAATTTAGAATTAAAAATAATAAATGTTAACAAAAGTTGTAAAAACTTTTACGGGACGTTTGGTTGGGAGTAAGGAATTAGGGTGGAAAGGAATTGCAATTCGGTGGGAAAAGAATAAGGTGGGAATAAAGTAGGAATTCAAATTACATTGTTTGGTAAAGATGAATAGAATTATTGGGTAGGGAATGAAAGAAGTGATATAAAGACTAAAATGTCCTTGTGTAATAATAATAATAGTAATAATTAAGGGTACTTTTGTCATTTCATCCCTTTTTCCTTTTCCCACAACCACCGAATTGCAATTCATAGGGGTGTGCCCATGAATTGCAATTCAGCAAAAGAAGGGAATTGTAATTCTGTGGAATTGCAATTCCCTCCAACCAAACGGCGTAATTGTGGCTTCTACTGAATTGCAATTCAACTACAGTCAAATTACGCCCAACCAAACAGGCCATTAGAATTAACTACAAATTAATACTTATTTTACTATTATATATACACACATGAGCCATACTTATTTTGCTTTTAAGGTAGTGTCTTGTGCACGTCACTGATTAGGATTCTTGCTTATTCTCACCTATATAAACTATAGTTTCAAACTACAACATTATTCGTCCGATTTCCCAACAGGTGGGTCGAATGACATTCTAGGCAGATTTGACATATAAAATCTGCATCCAACTTGATTCACCACTCACTAGCTATCGCCAAAAGAACTCGATCTATGTAACGTAAATTCAGTTAAATATCCGCAGGTAGATTGAAGTTGTCAATCCTAATTTTGGTTGCCTATTTCAATTTTTTATTATTGTTTTTTTAATGAGGAGAAAGTTACACTAAACAAATAAAAATGGCAAGGTCAACTTTAAGACGGTTGGTCGGTTGTTAGGTCATGAAAACTGCAATCACAGAATAGAATACAGTATATTACCATGGATAAAGATTAGGTCCAGCCAGACACCCAATAAAATATAAGAAATTCAGAATCTCGGCTGATTATTTTAAGGAAACTGAAAATTTTTGTTGACCAGAATCAAATTTTGGGTTCTTAAATATGTTATTATGCTGAGTTATGTCGTTGTCATGAGATCGGATATGTGGCCATTTCGTGGTTCGATTTGTAGTTCAAACTACTTAATTTACGTGTCTTGACCATCATCTTTCATTCTTTTTTGAAAGCATCATCTTTCATTCTTAATTATTTTTTGAATGCTTTTGAATTAGGGAATTCATTTAAATTTAGGTGTTATTATAATTTCTCAATAATTTATACTCATGATTAAATTTTACTTTACTAGCAAGTAGAAACCATAAGGTACCTAATTTGAATCTTACTAAGAACCAAAAAAAAAAAAATGTATTTAGTCTTGTTATGGACGTATAAACATTTTGGGACATGTAGGGCAATTGAAATACATAATTTACCTCCTACACTAGTTTTTAGCGTAAGAGTGGTGATGGATTTTTAAGTTTGATGTTCAAACTTATAAATAATCAACCAGTTTATGTACGCGCAATGAACGAATAAACCTTGTCCAATGAATAAAAAATGGGAAATATATAGTCAAAATAAATGTAAAACTATAGAAGAAATTATGGGATACACATTCAATAAAAAAATATAGATAAGGGATCAGGTGCGAAACTTCTCCCAAGTGAAATGTGCGGATTAATTACGGAGACGAAGAAGGTTCTTCATCCATGGCCGGAGACGAATCTGAGATCTTTTTTTTTTTTTAATTATTAAAATAAAAATAATTGTTTTAATATGATAACTTCCATATCAACAAACTAATAGGTAAACATGTCACATTTGACTCAATTGTATCAGTTCACTTTGTTCAGGGACTCAATTACATTGTTTTTAGTTCAATGACCTAATTACAATTTCGTGTATAATTCGATGGCTTATATAACCTTTATTCCTTTTAATTATATATATGTAACTCTATGAGACTAGGGGTGAGTGTATTTCGGATGATTCAAACTAACACCTAAAATTTGAATTAAATTTTAATTCAAATTTTTAGTGAATCTGAATGGTTAGTGGTTCAAAACTTCAAAAAATTTTAATCATGCTATATTCAAATATAAATTTGATTTGAATATTGAGTGTTAAAATTTTATCACTATCTATGCAAAATTCAAACTAATTCAAAATTTTGTTAGGAATATAATAATAAATTATATATTAAGCATTATATATATATATTTTAATACTACTGATTCTATTATATTTTTATATATTAAATATTAAATATATTTCATAATTAATATTATATTAACTTTCAAAAATTTCTTAGTTAATAATTAGTATCTTAAAATCCAACGAAGATATTAAAAGTTGTAAATTAAATAAAGATTAAGACCCTTTTATATGGTGTTAGTTGACTTTTATAGAGAATGAGAAGTTTTCAAGTGACATGAGATTGAATAGCATGTAATAAATTTTAAATGGCATCTTGCTTTTATTTAATTGGATCCATCTAGATTTACGATGCTTTTATTTTTCAACTATTATATTATGAATTGGAGGAAATATTCATGTGTCATTAATTTTAATTGATGAAAGTTGAATGTGTATATAAGAGCAACTTCAATTCAATGGTAAAAATCATATTAAATTTTTATGAGTTGGAAAGGGGAAACCAAAAATAAATAAATAAATAAATAAAAACAAAACAAATAATTTTTTTTTTTTAAAAAAAAAAACATAATTTATAGGGTGGTTTCCAACGAGTAAGGGGTTGAAACCACCCTAAAATTTATGACTAATTTACAAATTATGATAATTTTACTTATTTGCTGCGTAGTTTATTAATTTGAACATTTATAAAATTCATGTTTTAGTAATATTTAACTGATAAGGTGTATGAGATAAATCTTATTTATTATATAATGATCCACAATTATATAACACATGAGAGATAAAACTTAGGGGTGCAAGCAAGAATAATTATAGATATACGTGTGTTGACCAATTATAGAAGTAATTACTAAATCAATGAAGCCACTATTAGCAACTTGCATTGAGCCATTGACCAACTCCTAAATATGTGCATACAAACATCATATATATCTTCGTATTTCATCGTCAAATATCAATTCATATCCGATATAGTTAGTAGCAACGTAGCCATGGCAAATCTTGCTCTTATTTCTCTCTGCCTTTTCGCAATTTTCGTTAGTTTTTCGCTCCAAGGAAATGCACTTTCCACCTGCAATGGTCCCTGCACAACCTTGGACGATTGTTCCGGCGAGCTAATTTGCATCGACGGGAAGTGTAACGACGACCCCGACGTCGGAACAAATATCTGCGGAGGGGGCTCTACTCCAACTCCAGGCGACTGTGAACCGACCGGGAGTATGACGTGCAACGGCGAGACCAAGTCTACCTACCAGTGCTCGCCGCCGGTGACGTCCTCTACGCCCGCCACACTCACCCTCAACGACTTCAGTGAAGGCGGCGACGGTGGTGCGCCGTCCGAATGCGACGAGCAGTACCACGACAATGACGAAAGAGTGGTGGCGCTGTCGACCGGGTGGTACTCGGGAGGGTCTAGGTAATTGAAACATGTGGTTCATTAAGTAAAATGCTTATGTTGATAATTTGATTAATGTTTATATATTATAGCCGTGTTTGGTAAATGGTTAGCTGATTGTGTTAATTAGAGAGTATAACTAGTCGATAATATTAACAGTTGTAGAAAAGTGTTTGGTAAATTAGATGTTAGTTGATGGCTGTTTGGTGTAATTTCTTTTCTGAAAAAGTTGTTTGGAGTAGCTTTTTGAATTTTAGCATTTTGGAGTTGCAAAAAGCTAATTAACCAAACACTTATATTGATATTTTAACTAAATCAAACAATTAATAGTTGTCAAATAAGCTAAAATTGGTCTATCGACCATTTTTTTTACCAAACAGGGCCTAGAGGTTCATCAACACGTTATTTTGTGTAGTCATGTGTGCGAGTCAACTGCCTGCGTGAATAGCTCAACTGGTCATAGAGGTGAAACTTTGGAAGAATGACTGAGATTGAGTCTCACCAGCGGCATTTTTTGACTAGTTAGTGCTGATATCAAATTTAAACATGTGTTTCATCTTAACAGGTGCGGGAGGACGATTCGCATCACGGCGAGTAACGGGAGGAGCACGACGGCGACGGTGGTGGATGAGTGTGACTCCATGCACGGATGTGACGAGGAGCATGCAGGACAGTTGCCGTGCGATAACAACATCGTTGATGGGTCGGCGGCGGTTTGGGATGCTCTGGGCCTAGATCAAGATTTGGGCCGAGTTCCTGTTACATGGGCCATGGCCTAATTGATCATTCATTTGTCTGATCGAAATATGTCAACACAACAATAACAGTTGATGTGTATTATGTTAAGAGTTTATGTGTATTATGTTAAGATTTCATGTGTATTACGTTAAAAGTTTATGTGTATTCTGCTCTACAATTATGTACATACGAAACAATGGATTTATATTGTGTACCCTGGTGCGCAATATAACAATTGCTATTAAGGCTATGTTTGGAAACCCGGAAAATGACTTCTGGAAGTCATTTTCCGAGTTTTTGGTGTTTGGCTACACCTGGAAAATCCAGTCAACGGAAAACATTTTCCGTTGACTGGGGAAAATGAGCCCAATTTGGCGGAAAATGACTTCCGCCAAATTTGGGC